TTGTCTTTTAAGCTCTTCTTCCATTCATCCAAATTAGGCCTTAACATGCTTGAATTGCATGAATTATGCTCTCTTGCTCTATTGGCCTACAAAACACACAAAGGGAGGGAAATAACTTAGAATTATAGGAACTAAGCAAAAGAAGTAAGTAAATTGGGCATGTATATGTATGAAATTATGAGCTTAACACCTATCCTATTTATAATGAGCTTTAGTTGGTGTAATTCTAATAGGATACTCCCATTACAATCCTATTAGAATTCAACTTAATCACCAAGTCACAGGATGACTATGTCCAACTCCTAATTATATTATGACTTCAATGCTTAAATAGGATATCTTAATCACATATGTATAAACTTCATAATGCTTTTAATAATTGATCTTGGTATTTGTCTTAGAGTCCCAGCCAAGTTCAATGAGTGTGTGACCTTATAATGCTTACAATGGACTCTTTTTGGCCATTCCTATTGCCAAAAAGAAGGATATAAATATGGATATGGATCTTCTGCTTGGATTTTCTTTTTCATGATCTGCTTGACTTTTGTCCTCCGCATGCCACCTCATTAAATTTTAATCTAAGGGACTAAAAAATTGACATATCATTCTTCAAGCAAAAACCAAATTGGGTCCGAGGTGTTACAGGTGACTGGTTTTTATGGCCATCCTGATCCCAATCAATGTATCCATTCCTCGGGACTTCTGTGGAGGTTGAGTCAGGTGAATTTGGGTATGTGGTTATGCTGTGGTGATTTTAATGAGATTCTTGCCACAAATGAAAAAACTAGCCCTTGAGTCTAATTGGCTCCGCATGTTGAGGACTTTCAGCGGGCAGTGGGAGATTTTCATCTACTATCATTTGATTTTGTGGGGTATCCCTTTACATGGACGAACAATCGAAAGGGTGATGCCAATGTGCAGGCGCGCCTAGATCGGGGTTTTGGCAATTTACAATTGATTCATCAGTAGGGTAATTTTACCTGACTCACAGATGAGTGACTCTACATAGCGTTCGTTCAGACGCCGTCGTTTTCAATTTGAAGAGCAATGGACTGTGGATGAGGACTGTGCTGCCATTATTCAGGAGGGTTGGTGCTCTTGGGAATCCCCCACTGCTAATATTTCCCATTGTGCCAATCAATTATCTAAGTAGAAATAGGAAAATTTTCGCAATATGAAATCAAAAATTCACTCCCTGCATGCTTCCTTAGACTCGCTTCAATCGGCGGACCCGTTGGCAGCTACTTTACAACAATAGAAATTGGTTGAAAATGAACTAGATCTTTGGAGATGGATGAGTTGTATTGGCAACTATAAGATTCGGGCTTCCTCACACAACAGTGTTGAGGTTTTCTTCTCTATTTATATAAATGATTGTACAGTTACAAATATTCAAAAATTGAGCTGTTACATATCAAGAGGGGCTGTGATCAAGGGATGGTTACAAAATAGATTAGGATATGGAGCAGCTGAGATCATGGAGATTCTATAACTGATGCAAAAGTAATTGTAAGATATTTACAGCTAATACGCCCCCTCAAGTTGAGTGTTCTTGAACTCTCAACTTGTCTTGAATGAATTTGAAACGGGTAGAGCTCGAAGGCTTTGTCATTATATCAGCAAGCTGATCCTTGGTGGAGATGAATTTGACATGAAGGCGTCCTGAAGAGACTTGATCATGAACAAAGTGATAATCGATCTCAACATGTTTAGTGCGAGCATGGAAAATTGGATTGGCGGAAAGGTAAGTTGCTCCCAAGTTGTCACACCATAAGACAGGTGGTGTTGATAAAGTAAGGCCAAGTTCTTTCAGCAAAGAAACCAGCCAAGTAATTTCACTAGAAGTATTGGCAATGGAGCGATATTAGGCCTCGGTGGAAGATCTAGCAACAGTCGGTTGCTTTTTGGCAGACCACGATACTAGATTACAACCAAGATAAATTACATAGCCACCAGTTGATTGGCGATCATCTGGACATCCAGCCCAATCTGCATCACAAAAGGCTTGAATGCCATTAGAGGGAGATTTGCTTAGGAAAAGACAATGGGAAAGAGTGTGCTTGAGGTATCGAAGGATTCTTTTAACTGCTGTCCAATGCTCAGTGGTGGGGTTGTACATGAATTGACACACCTTGTTGACAGAAAAGGCAAGTTCCGGGCGGGTTAAAGTTACATATTGAAGGGCACCTGCAATGCTTCGGTATTGTTGTGGATTAGCAAGTGGTTCGCCACCAATTTTACTAAGCTTGGTGGATGAGGCCATAGGAGTATGAGTGGGCTTCATGTCTGCCAAATCAGATCGTTTGAGAAGATCAAGGATGTATTTTCGTTGAGAGAGAAGAAGACCTCCAGATTGTGGGATCACCTCAATACCCAAAAAGTAATGCAACTTGCCTAGGTCCTTCAAAGCGAATTGCAAGCTTATAGTGGAGATGACATTGTTAATGGCAGCACCGTTATTTCCAGTGATGATGATATCATCAACGTATATGAGAACATAAATAATAATACTCCTGTCATTAAAAATGAATAATGAACTATCCACCTTTGAGCCAACAAATTGAAGCTGAAGAAGACATGAACTGAGGCATTGAAACCAAGCACGGGGAGCTTGTTTCAAGCCATATAAAGAGCGATGAAGCTTGCAAACATGATGAGGTTTGGTGTCATCAACGAAACCTGGTGGTTGAATCATGTACACTTCTTCATTTAAATGGCCATGGAGAAAGGCATTAGTTACATCTAATTGACGAGTTTCCCAACCGTGGCTGACAGCAATTGACAAGACCTGCGAATGGTGGTGGCTTTTACAACAGGACTGAATGTCTCAGTGTAATCAACGCCCTCTTGTTGATGAAAACCCTTAGCAACCAACCTTGCTTTGTAGCGATCTATAGTACCATCCACCTTGCGTTTGACACGAAAGACCCACTTGCAACCAACAACATTCATAGAAGGATTATATGGAACAAGAGACCATGTGCCATTATGTATCAGTGCATTGAGCTCATCATTCATTGCTGCTCGCCAATGCTTGTGCTTATTGGCTTCAGAGAAACATGTGGGCTCATGTTGAGAGGTAGCTTCTGTCAAAAGTGCATGAGGAATAGTATACTTGGGATTTGGTGGGGGTTTTGGGCGAAGATTGTATCTTGTGTCATTACGGCCATGACTGGGATTGCCTCTTTGATTACCTGCCAAATGCACAACTGATTCTAGACCACTAGAATTAGTAACGTTATGAGCAATATTATCATGTTGGGGAAGAATTGAATTGTCATTATTAGGAGGGGAATTAACAATGGAGTGAGAATTTAAATTTGAAATGGAATTTGAGTTTGAGGGAAGACTCGGTGAGTAAATAGGTGCATCACTTAAAGGAAGAGAATTATTAGAATTTAATGGAGGGGAACCAATAGGAGAAGAAAGATTACCAAGTGTGGAGGCCCTTACATCATGTGCTGAACTGGGTAGCTCTATAGGCAATAAAAATGAATTAGACTTTGAATTAATTGGAACCTGCACCATAGGAGAGACAGAGAATGGAAAAGTATGCTCATGAAATCGTGCATGTCTTGAGATATAAATCCTGTCAGTTTGTTGATTCAAGCAACGATAACCATGATGATTTGGACTATATCCTAAGAAGACACATGGAAGAGAATGAAAATCAAATTTATTTTTATTATAAGGACGAAGGTATGGAAAAACTAAGCAACCAAACACTTTTAGAAAGCGATAATCAGGAGACTTATTAAACAAAATTTGGAAAGGAGATTGGCCATGAAGAACTGAAGTAGGCATTCAATTTATCAAATAAACTGATGTATCAAAAGCAAAACACCAATACTTTTTAGGGATAGATCCATGAGCAAGAAGAGTGAGACATGTTTCAGTGATATGACGAATTTTCCGTTCGGCAGATCCGTTTTGTTCATGAGTGTGTGGGCAAGCAATCCTACGATTAATGCCACATTTGTCAAAATGAGAAGAAAGCTTACGAAATTCTCCTCCCCAATCTGATTGGAAACTACGAATTTTAGTATTGAATAGACGTTCTGCTTGGGCTTGAAATTTGAAAAATACATCACACACATCAGATTTTCGTACTAGAGGGAAAAACCATACATATTTGGAATAATCATCAAGAAATAAAACAAAGTAGCGATGGCCATCTATGGATGGAGTGGGAGAAGGGCCCCAAACATCACTAAAAATAAGCTCCAAAGGACTAGAGCTAATAGAGGTAGTGGGGGGAAGAGAAAACTTGGACAATTTTCCTAAACAACAGGCAGTGCATGGTTGCAAGTCCTTGGGAGGGAGGGAGGGAAGGAAGACTGTTGCCATTTATTAC